GGCAGCGGTGACGGCGGCGGCAGCGGCGTCGGTGGCGCTTCGCGGAGGAAGTGACCGCACGCGGCGCGGACGTACGTTACTTGTCGCAGAGTCCGCTCCGAGAATGCGTTATGTATTTACGTAGAATATTGCGTAACGTACAAGAGGCCGGCTAGAGTGTGTTTAGAAACGTGCATCGTCTTAGAGTTTCACGGCATAAATCGAACAAGAACTACCGGCGCAAGAGCAAGTTTCGCGCGTGCATACGCAGCAGGAATCCAACCCGGCCACCGACGCGATCGAAAGTTTCGGGGAGCCAGAGAAGAGTTGGCGACAGTGCATTATTCACGACGACAACCGAGAGACATATCTCGATCTCGACGTCACCGTCACCGTATCCTTCGTTGTACGAGAAAACCTACGTAGGAGATAGGAACGCGGAACGTGTTTTTTTTTCAAATGGAAATTGGTACGTATGAAGAAAAAGACATCCACTGTTCGGAACGTTTATCTACTTGTTCATTATTTTCCTCGCATTCGACTTTTCTACATATACGCGTCACCGCGTCGACAATTCTGCAACGGAGCTCGATCGGGTCTCCCTATCCCCCCCCCAATCCTCTCCTTTCCCTCCCCTTTTTCACTTTCTCTCTCTCTCTCTCTCTCTCTCTCTCACACATAGCTAGCACGAGTTTATAAATTAGGCCCGGTTGTATCAATCATGTTACTTTGATTTTAAGCGAAACTTAAATTCTCTCTATCTCGTTTTAAAATCGAAAAGAAACAGGGACAAAGAGAATTTTAAGCCTCGCTTAAAATTAAAGTAATTTAATGCAACCGGAGCTTATTCTTATAACGCGCTTGGGTCTTGCGCGTCTCTCTGATATGCGATAAAGTTTCATTTATAAAATATTACCATTTACATCGCCGAATTTCAAACTGCTACGATAAAAAATGTATGTACCTTCATTTTATTCGTCGAATTAGCTTCAAGCGATTATGAAAATGAAATTATGGAATAGAGATCCTAAAAGACGTCAAGATCTTTCAGATCTTATAACCTTACTTTGTAGTTTCACATGTTGTATTTTCCTAAACTTTTCGAGACTCGTGCAGAACATTCTTTAATTACGTACAAATTTATTTATTTAAAAATCTGTAAACTACTATAAAGAATTTCGATAGGCTTTCATCATATGATTTTATTATTTTTTCCCTGATAAAATATTTGAACATTAAACACAAACCATACATGCCGATGGCTGTGTTCCAAAATTTACTGCCAGTACTCAAAATTTGTAGTACATACATGTAACGTAAACTACAGATTTTTAGTACTGGCAGTAAATTTTGGAATACAACCTGTGTGACTATTGGTTTTTCCATTCCTGCATTAGACTGTTCTAGAACTCTCTTTCGTGCTGCAGACAAATACATATATCAAATACATATATCTATCTTCTTTTAAATTCCAAAAGTGTACATTAGTTCAGTCACAGAAAACAGACCTTATATATGTATATATATATATGTATATATATATATATATATATGCCTATAGTTGAAGTATGTGTTTTGAAAATTACTAATGTGTAATATACTGTTTATATCCTATATTTACATAAATACAAATGTGCTTTAATGTGCAGTATTCAGAGATATATTCAGAGATATCGCTTTGTTTATTTATAATTCACAAAATTAATCGTGTGATTTGTGAGAGATATAAATTTGAATCTAAATTAATTTTTTCTAAATATAATCATTATCTTTAAACTTTTCAGGATTGTCTTGAAATCGATAAGCTTTGATGTATAAGTGATATTAACAATACATTGCTGTATATATACAAAATGCAAATACGCAGATATATATATATATATAGGATATATAAGTATGTATGGGTGCATTTCATTGCACGTATGATGTGTATCATGTGTACGTATGATGTGCATCATGTGTACAGAGGACAAATCTGTGTATTTTGTGTGTGTGTGTATGTTATACATATATATTTTTTATGTTACTTATCATTATCATTTTTGTTAAGCTCTACATTATGTTGACCTTGTCATTTTCAAATTCTGAAGTAATCTAATTTAAAATAATTTCAGAAAATCTACCATCTAATAGAAAATTTACTATATGTCACATAAATTCTATAAATAAACTGAACTGTATTCACTGAGAATGTAATGCTCTCGATAGTGATTTATAAGTTAAATTGCAAAACGAAGAAGAAATAAATCTCTTTTGGAATTATTTTCTTTTCAGCAGCTCCAATGTGATTTACAATGAAACGTGTTCGCGGACTGGACGATATAGCATCAGCACCAACAAAACACTCATCGGTGAGTGCAGCAAGTGGCTTAGGTGGTGGAGGAGGCAGTTTAGATTACCACACTAGCAGTGGAATAGGTGTTGTTGTACCTGGTCAAGCAGTTCGATCTGTTGCGTCAAAAGAAATGCCAGGAAGTATACAGTTTGGCACTGCCCAAGCTCAACAACAATATACTGGAGCGATTGTTGTACCAACCGCAGCACCATCTCCTATCAAGGTAAATTCCCGTTGCGATTTCATATCTGCAAGTGTGAGGATGATGATGATGATGAAGATAAATAATAATACTTAATAAATGTTTTATATGCAGCAGGCGAGTGGCTCCGCGGGAGGACTTGGCTCCACGTGTAGTAGTAGCAGCATAAATACTGGTGGTGGTTTGCATAGTGGAATAGGTGGTGGTAATAGTCACACAATGGCTTCCCAACAACCTACATCAGGATCACAAAATCAACTCCATGCGCAACAGCAATCGACAATAAGGCATAAGGTGTGCATCATCTTTTTTTTTTATTTTTTTTTTTTACCACACAGCATGTACACACGCATGTATGCACACGCAAACAAAAGTACGAAATACAAACATTAACGCCTATTGTGCACTTAGACAATCGTCACAAGTTTGTAAATAACAGCTATTGTCACTATAGGTACATTCTGGTAATGTAACACCTTTGGCTTCCACTCCACCTGGCTCTAATCTGGGAGGAGGAAGTGGATCTCAACAATTCCAGAGATTAAAAGTAGAAGATGCTTTATCTTATCTGGATCAAGTAAAATATAAATTTAGTGATCAACCACAGGTAAGCGACAAAGAATTAAATATATTAAATATATATTAAATATTAATTAAATAAGAGTTCAAACGTGAATGTATGTGTGTGTGTGTGTGTGTGTGTGTGTGTGTGTGTGTGTGTGTGTGTATATATATATTTATATATTACTATTTATATATTACTTTATTGACTAGTTTATTGGTATTTTTCATCATATTGACATAAAATTTTTTATTTGTAGGTGTACAATGACTTCTTAGATATTATGAAAGAATTCAAATCTCAAAGTATAGATACTCCGGGCGTTATAACGCGAGTAAGTCATCTTTTCAAAGGACATCCCGAACTCATCGTAGGTTTCAATACGTTTCTCCCACCCGGCTACAAAATAGAAGTACAAGCAAATGAGCAAGGATATGCTTTTCAAGTATCCGTCAGTATGCCCAGTCCAACGGCAACACATACCGCCACATTGTCGCAGCATCATTGTACGGTGAATGTTGGTTCACCTCCAGTAGCTAGTCCACCCACACAACCTGCAAAAGCACCTCCCGTTTTGCAAATAATGCCAGGGTAAGCATTCCGCTAAGTCCTATTATAACTATTATAACAAATTATTATGAAAAAAGAAAATGTAATGTCTATTGCTGCATTGATTGTTCTCAGGTCAGGTAATATACATCATACGTTGGCAAACAGTATTACAACTAATAGTTTAACTGTTCATGCGCCTTCACCGCCGCCAGTATCAGTGTATAACAATTCGCACGTTAGCACTGCACAAGCGCAAGCTGTCAGTCAGGCTTTAAATCAAGCAGATGGTGTGTCGACTGGTGGACAAACTCAACAAAGTCAGCCGGTTGAATTTAACCATGCGATAAACTATGTCAATAAAATAAAGGTAAGATTATTAACAAGGAAAGAAGGAATGACGTGAGATATAGAAAATAATCAAGCATATGTAAAATATACAAAATTACGTTATTTTTAGAATCGATTCCAAGGTCAACCAGACAAATACAAACGCTTTTTGGAAATATTGCATACGTATCAGAAAGAACAGCGAAATTTAAAAGAATCTGGTCATATGGGAGGTACAAGTTCCGGTGCGACAGCTGGAACGAAACACTTGACGGAGGCGGAAGTTTATAGTCAAGTTGCTAAATTATTTGAAAATCAAGAAGATCTGCTTGCTGAATTTGGACAATTTTTGCCGGATGCTACCAACCAACAAAACTCGTTGGTGAGTCGGTGCTTATTACAATAAAACGACAGAAATCTTGATGAAATAGAATTTTAAATGAAGAATTGCAATTATGCGCTAAAAAAATTGATCTAAGGTAGTACAGTCGTGCGCGCGCGCGCGCGCGCGCACACACACACACACACACACACACACACACACACACACAGAGAGAGAGAGAGAGAGAGAGAGAGAGAGAGAGAGAGAGAGAGAGAGAGAGAGAAACTTTTAAAGAAACCTATACGTTTCTTACAAACGTACATACGAAAATATATTGTTTCTTGTTTTTTCTAAATTGTGATAGTGAAACGTATATTACGTGCAAAAAGAGCGCAAATGTGAGAAAATGATGTTTATAAATCGCATATTCTTCCATTACGAGTCTATAATATCGCGTCTTAAATACGATATCTGCATCTGCTATTACATATATTCTCTTGATCCTTTTATTTAAGATAAAAAAAGAAGAAATTACCATAATTTTTCTTTTTTCCTCTCTTCTTTTTGTTCACATTTCTTCTGAGAAAATTATTTCTTCGTTGAATAAACTAACCAATTTTGATTCCTATTAGTCTCTTGCCATTTTTCAGACTAATAAGACGACATCAATTAACGATCATACAGCAATTGTCAAGAAACCAATTGGACTGAAGACACCTTACAATAATTCTGGTACTATATCGAGAGATCTTCGAGAAGCTAGCAGTACGGCTGGATTGGAACGCGACAATCGAGAACACAGAGAACGAGAACGGGAGCGGGATAGATCGAACATAAGAGATATGAATAGTGGCCAGAAATGCGGACACAGTACAGGACAATTGAAAAGAAGTCCGTCATTCTCGACTTCAGCGACACCGGGAAATTCTCATCATATACAACATGGTCCACCACCCTCGAAAAAGCATAAAGTGGCTTCGATGCGCGATATTTCTATCGCAGAAGCTGGTAAATATGGTACCTTAAACGATTATGCTTTCTTTGATAAGGTGAGCATTAAGTATATTATCATTTATAATTTCTTCATTGTAACTACGTTACATACTTTCTGCACAACAAATATGTTTTCTTAAATAAATATGATGTTACCTTAGGTTCGAAAAGCGCTCAGATCGCAAGATGTCTACGAAAATTTTCTTCGATGCCTTGTACTTTTCAATCAAGAAATAATCTCGAAATCGGAGCTTATTCAGCTAGTGACACCATTTCTCGGTCGTTTCCCCGAATTATTACGTTGGTTTAAAGATTTTCTGGGCTACTTAATCGATTCGTCGAGCACTACGATGACAAATGCAGGAAACGCCATCGGAATAGAAACTTTCCCAAACAGCATTGTACGCAGCCATCAAGAACGGCCACAAGGTGACTTAGCGATAGAAATTGATTATACAGCGTGCAAGCGACTGGGGGCGTCGTATTGCGCATTACCAAAATCGTACATTCAGCCAAAATGTAGTGGCAGAACGCAATTATGTAAGGAAGTCCTCAACGATACCTGGGTTTCATTTCCAACTTGGTCAGAAGACAGTACATTTGTAACATCAAGGTAATTGATCATTTTCATTTATGCACTTGCGCATATGAGAAACAATCTTTTTCAATTTCTTTGTCGTCTTTCTTATACTACTCTTTTCTTTTTCCTATCATTTGTTTTTAAAATTATCTATTACATGCATAATGTTATTTTTTGATAATAGTGTTGTAAAAATAACTGAAATATTTATTTCAATTATGAGATACGTGCGCATTGGTTTGCCTAGGAAAACACAATATGAAGAATCCATATATCGATGCGAGGATGAACGTTTTGAATTGGATGTCGTTATAGAAACTAACGCATCGACAATTAGAGTGCTCGAGGGCGTTCATAAGAAAATGAACCGGATGACTCAAGAGGAGGTACAAAAATATAAACTCGACGAGTGCATGGGCGGTTGTTCGCCTACGATTCATCAACGAGCAATAAAAAGGATATACGGTGATAAAGCTTCTGACATCATAGAGGGTCTTAAAAGAAATCCTGTAGTGGCTGTGCCCGTTGTACTTCGCCGACTAAAGGCCAAGGAGGAGGAATGGCGGGAAGCGCAAAAGGGATTCAATAAAATCTGGAGAGAACAAAATGAGAAGTACTACTTGAAATCTTTAGATCATCAGGGAATTAATTTCAAACAGAATGATGTAAAAGCGTTGAGATCTAAAAGTCTGTTCAATGAGATCGAAACATTATATGATGAGGTTAGTATATACGTGTTTTAACTTCAATTTCCATCTTGCTTTTCTGCGGTTTCTCTTTCTTTTTTTTTTCTCCTTTTCTCGTTTTGCAATTATTTAACGTGTTTTGGCACATTGTACAGAGGCACGAACAGGGCGACGACGGTAATAGCGACGGTCAAGGGAATAGTGGTCCACATCTCGTTCTATCATATAAAGACAAGTCTGTATTGGACGACGCTGCTAATCTCTTGATTCATCACGTTAAACGGCAAACCGCTGTCCATAAGGAAGACAAACAACGGATAAAACTTTTGTTAAAACATTTTATACCTGATCTTTTCTTCCATCCCCGACAAGAACTTAGCGATGACGAAAGGGACGAAGACGGTAGATTCTTTTTTTATCTCATAACTGTCATCTCGTGAAGATGAATATATTTTCGAATACATGAATTTTATTCCATTACAGATGAGAAGGAGGATGTAAACATGGCAACGTGTAACAATTCTCAATCCGCAACAAATACTTCATCGTCGTTGAGTGGTTTGCAAGCTAATAGGAGTAAGGCTCCCGCATCACCAAATACATCTTCCACTACTATCAAAAGTGAACCCGACGTAAAAGTACCAATGCACGCTCTCTCGAGTGATCCCGAGGAAGCTTATACACTTTTTATGGGAAGTAATAATTGGTACCTCTTCTTGAGGTTACATCATATACTATGTGAAAGATTAACAAAAATGTACGACAGGGCGGTTGCTCTTGCCGAAGAGGAGTCCAAGTATAAACAGCAGCGCAGAGAAAGTACAGCAGTCGCTTTAAGATTGAAACCAAAAAGTAAATAATCCATTTGCCATATTTGTCAATTTGCGTTGGCAATTAATTATCACGCATTGAATCATATATTAATCGCACTTATCATCGGTATATTTGACATAGGTGAAATTGAAATTGAAGATTATTATCCTGCCTTTCTGGATATGGTTAAAAATGTCCTCGACGGAAATATGGAAAGCACAGCGTACGAAGACACATTGCGAGAAATGTTCGGTATTCATGCATACATTGCCTTTACTCTCGACAAGGTCGTTAATTATGCGGTTAGGCAAGTAAGTAAATTTTTGTTTTGTTTCCTTTTTCTTGATATCATGATAAGAAGAAAAAACAAGCACGCGAAATTATATATTTCTGGCAGTTGCAGCACCTAGTCTCAGATTCCGTTTGTCAACAATGCATGGATTTATTCCAAAGGGAGCAACGTCAACCTAAAGAAAATAGCGGAGCTGGCGGACTATGCGCCACAGCGTACATGAGATTAAGCGCTGAATTATCATATCAACGCAAGGCAGAAAAAGCAATGGCAGATGAAAATTGTTTCAAGATATATATAGTGAGTAACTTTTTTAAAATGTTTGATTTATTTACAATTACAGTGATAGGTGGTAATAGCGATTACTATTAATGACAAATTATATCACTTAGGCGCACTTTTATTTTCTTCTGAATATATGGGGTGTCTAAAATATTGTTTTTCACTAGACTTACCAATTTTTCTTCTTACACAAACACGCGAGGAAGTAAATAAAAAATAAAAATGTGCGAATAGTTTAGAAAATATTTCAAGAATATGATTAAAATACATTACGTTTTAAATGAAACTAATTCGTTAGAATTGTCGGTAATAAATATTTCATTGAACACTGTATATAATTAGATTTTAGTCGCAAGCTTTCAAGCTGTAATTTTTATTTCAGTATAAAAAGGACTGTAAAATGACGATGGAGTTGTTAGATACAGAAGGCGATGAAACAGTGGATAATGGCTGTAGAGAGAGAGAAAGGGAAGGCGTTACAGTTTCTGAAAAATGGTCAACATACGTTGAGAGATTTTCTGCACCAGCTGGTCAAACTAGTCCAAAAGACACTCCTGCCTTAACAGAGAATGAGCAGACGACCAATCATCCTGTGAGTAACGACCAGGCAGCAAGGGGGGGGAGGGGCAGAAAACGCAAGAACACTGACATTAGCAAAAAGGTATAGGATCCAAATACCTTTTCATAATCATTGCCAACATTCAACT